AAATAAGGACTGCGCTGGCCGGGCCGGAGCTGCCTGAGTGTTTACAAGATCGCTGACAGCCCTTCCGGCCCCTCTGCCTTTCTGTTTAACAAGCCTTTTCCTGCTCATTGGCAGAGGCAGCCCCCCGCCGCCCACCTGCCTCCATCTGTGCCCGCGGCTGACGTGTTAGAGATGTGTCGGTGGTGCCCGGGAGCTGCCAGTTTCATTACTAAGCAGCCTGATTTCAGTGGCTCGGAACTGCCCGAGCGCCAGGGCTGACCGTGGTCTCTAGGTGAGCAGCAGCCAGATGTGCTGGGTCCCTGGGGACGCTGCAGTCAGGGCGTCTGGGCTGCTCTGATGTCACAGAGCGCGGGGAGAAGACACTGTCTTTTCTTGCTCCACTACCTCCAAGCTGGTCCAGCCCTGAAATTTCAAAGTCCTCAGGAGGGACCAGCTGGGGCGGAAGGAAATTCGATAAGGCTCAGAGAGATCTGAGGAGCGGCAGAGAGACTATCGACGGCTGCAGATTGGGACCCTGAGCACGCGCCCTTTGAAAGGCCTAATCCTGGCAGAAGCTCAGGCACTCCCCCAGAGGAGCCGGCGGCGGCTGAGCCTGTTTCTGCCGGAGGGCGAGCTGAAGGGGCCGCGGGGCTGGGCGCCCCCGGAGGCCCTGCTGGCACCGGAGGAGACTGGGCCCTCAGTGCGCCCAGCACAGAAGGCGGCACGGGCCAGGCCGGGAGCGTGGCGGTTGAGGATCTGGGTTCTGGAGCCCTGGCTCTGCAGACGGCTGTGGCCAGCCCCTCCACCGCCCCAAGCCTCCGTTTCCTCCTCTTCAAAACCAAGATCCTAGGAGGCCCCTCCCCCACCAGATGACCAGCTGTGCTCAGGCCTGGCGTGACCAGGTGCTCTGTGAAGGCCAGCTGGACGGTGGGCATTGGGTAGTACAGGCCTGGCCATGGCCTTCCTGTCCTCCCTCCTGCTGCCCCTGCCTTGGCCAGCTGCGCCCTTCCAGCCTGCAGCCCTCTATGGCCTTTGACCCGCCTTCCTTGGGGGGGGGCAGGCCATGAGCCCTTCACTCATGAGCACGGCCATCAACCCTCTCCCTGCCACACGACTGAGTCAGGCACGAGGTCAGCACCCTGCCCCCAGGCCCCGGGGGCAGAAGAACAAAGGGGCAGGGTCTGTGCTCGGGGACCTCCCACCCAGGCCAGAAGCGACCCAGATCCTGGAGCAGGAAGAGAGCAGGTCTGCCCAGCAGGTCGCAGTCATGGGGAGGAGTCCCAAGCCCCAGGGCCCCCTCTGTCCCTATTCCCTGAGCCTCCGCCCCCGACCAGGGGGGTGAGACAGTAGGTACC